TACTTCGAGGGTGATGGATGAATTTAATACCTGAGATAAGTGTACGGGTTTTATAGGCGCAGTCTTGAAACTTTCTGATCGCACCTCGTATATTCTAGTATAACCTTTAACAGAGATTTCACTGTGTCAACAATTAATACAATACTTCATAGTAATTTTGGCAGTATGCAAAGGGCAAGAACATGGAAAGTGGTCATTATAGTTACTGAAGAAGAAAGATCACAAAGCTCTTAAATATAGTATGAGTAAAAATATATGCAACATACATTGTAAACAAAAGAAGGCTTAAGTGTTATGCCTATTTGTAATATTGCTATATCTTATTCTTTGCACTTATAAATGAATGATAAACTATTGTAAATGAAAGACTTTATGTGGTACCTGCTTAACAGTGATCACCTCCGATGAAAATAATAACCATGCCTGTGACAAGGGCAGATCTGATATTTATAACTGGGTGGAAAGGGGACAAAAAGATTATCTTGTTTCCAAAGCAACATAGTTTTTTTTAAATGTATATTTAAATACTTACTAAGTGAATGGACATTCCACATAGCTGACTGCCAGGAACAGTGGGAATGAACATGAGATTTTTGTTTGCAATTGTGAATTTATTTTTCTTTCTGTTACCAAACCATCATAGCATAAGGATTAAATCAGTAAAAGACAGCATTGTTTTAGCCAGTTACACAGTGTATGATAAAAGGTAGCCTGACTTGCTGTTTTTAAACTTTAGTAGTCGGCTAACAGGAATGTGCAGAAGTAATGGTGTTGTGTTCTACCTTGTTCTGCAGTTATACCATGATTTCAGAATTTAAATGGAAACCTGCTAATGTAAAGATTCAACTTGGAGTACAATAAATTTTCCTATAAATTACTGAAAATCATGAAAGAGTAATGTTATGTATTTTTAATAGGGAACTATAACTAGGAATAATCCATCTGTAGTGTTCTATTTACATGTTCCATAAATCTCATTTGTAATTGGTGTAGTGACTTTAAGAGGAAGTTCTAGGAAGAACTTATGATGCATATTTTCCTTCAAATATTTTGGTCTGTATAGTGAATCTATCAAGAACTGCTTCATGATCCAATTCTGTGCAGATTTCCACTAGAACATATTCTAATCAAATATGTCACATGTAAGATCAAAGGTATTAACCATCTATCCTGACTGACACTGACCACTGCATAAGAAAATTTAATTTGATTCAGGTCATGGTGAAAGCTACAAAACTTAATGGCATTTCACACAGAATTTGTATGATTTATCTCCATACATGACTTCACATGCCTAGCTCATATATTTAATTTGTCATCGTCACTAAACTAAAAGTTAGATGTAGATATTATGCAAGTACAATTTGAATCTATATTCTGTAGAAATTATCTTGACAGAAGGTGCACATTTTTTTAATGATCTAGTATCACATAAAATGTAAGCACCGTATACCAAATGGAAACTAATCTCAATACCACACTGTTTCATATGGTTGCCATATTTACTGCCTTGTTAACAAATCATAGCTCAATCATAATCCTAACACCACATACCTCATCATTTAGCAATTTGAAAAACTCCAAGCGTAATCCTGGGGTCTCAGGTTCGCTTCCCGGCTGTGCCCGAATTTATAACTTATGTTGGGCAAGGCCGTGGTCTAGGCAACATGGAGTTTTCCTCCGGGGGCTTCCCTGGTTTCTCCGTGGCATCCCAACAATTACTCCATTCACACACAGAGGAAGGCAATGATGAAATAAAATGAACTACAATAATTATTCATACCTGTAAAGTCACTCATTTTTAGGAGGATGTAACATCTGCTGATAATACAGCAGTGCTAATTCCAATCACTTCTTCACATTCAATCTTCTTATGCATGCTTATTTTTATATGGCTATGCCCTCTTTGGCAAGTCTTTCAATATTATCTTCTTATAATGTGGCCAATTACCAGCAATATTACAGAAAACTTCTACTTAACTCTGAAATAAGGCAACAGGAAAAAAAAAGATGAAAAAACTGTTCACATAAAAAGTTCAGATTCAAAAATTATAAGAACTTGTTCAAC